GAGAAGAACTTGAGCAATTATTTCCACTTGCACACCCTTCCACACCTTTTTTAAATGCAGTTTTTATATTTTCAAGAAAAAAAAAAGTTTTTTTTCTTAGTTTCTTGTAGAAATTATACATTTTCTATAGCAGATATTGTGTTATTCTGTTTCTTCTTTTTTTTTTTTCTCAGACAGTTACTTACACTTCATCGTCACAGTTGAGAGGCTTTTCCAGTCTGTACCCTTGAGGCAGTTTTTCATATAGTTCTGCACATGTCATACCACAGTATGGCGTTCCACCTAAAGCAAAGTTTAACCATTGTCATGAACAGAAGAGGTTTTTACTAAAAGAAATTTTAATTTCATAGCAGAAATGCAAAAGTATGACTGACTTAAGTAAATTAGCCCAATGTTAGGGAATATCTTGTTGTTAATGCTTCCCTACTCCTCAATGCATTGTATTAAAGAGAAAAATAAAACTTAAGCATCAGCTTTTATCATCTGTGAGGCTGACGTAACTTACTTGGCCACTCTGAGGGCCTGCATCTGATTGTATTTGAACTGGTTTTGCAATGCTCTTGATGTCAATAGGCAAGGTATTCCTTCATTAGCAGGATATGAATAATATCCAGAATTAACTCCTGGAGCTATTACTGTCAAGCTGGTTTTGCCCCTTTCTGCAGATATTTGGTTGTTTGCAGATATTTGATTTTCAGGTCTAAACACACTTCAGTGTGTTAGTTCTCATCCATATTTAGTTCAAACCCATTTAGTAAGACAAGCTGGGAAAAAAATCAGAAAGCAAGACCATGACTACTGCAGCACACAGTGTGCACCTCAGTCAGTAAGCATCTCTTGGCCAGCAGACCATGGGGCACATGTCCAGGGCAAATCATGAAGCAGGTGTAACACAATGATTTTGAATGGTTTGAGGCTATATCACAATAATGATGCAAGAGGTGTGCACAGAAATGAACTCTAAATTTTATTTGAAGATTTATATTCAGAAATTTTCTTCAAGAATATTTGGAACAGGATGTAATTACCCCTGCACTCCACAAAGTCATGATTTGAAACTCAGGAAAGCTGAGGAAAAGCCACCCATCAAACTGAAAACATGTTGGATTTGGGCTATATACCATGATATGCTGGAGTTTATATTTAGGTATGGCCTGGGTTTTATAGTGCAATGAAAACAGGGTCATTATGGGTTTTTTCTCATTTAAAATGTACCTGAATAGAAAATCTGACAATTGCATCACCAAGCATACTGAAGCTAAATAAAATTCAGCAGAAGGAAACAGGAAAAAAATGAAATATGTTGCGAAGCAATATGGTTTTTAAAGACTGAGTAAATAGAGCTGCCTTGCCTCAGATTGTTTATTTGTGCAGTACAAAATTCAAATACTTACCTAAACTAACAATTTCCCATAACAGGACACCATATGACCATCTGCAATAGAAGGATATTATGAAGTGCAAATGAACACAACAAGATCTAATATTTTTAAATGGTACATAGTTTTGCTAGTATTCAGAGAACACAGATAAGTGTGATACATTCTTCTATATTTTTTTAGTAAGTTTTCCATAATGATAGGGATTGTAGACTAAGAAAGCAGGAGAATTAGCAAAATTAATCCACTCTGAGTCAACCAGAGGCCTTTATTAGATTGTGAGCTCTCAGGAAATACTGTTATTACAGAATTGCTTTGCCAAATTTCACTGTCAATTTCCTGGCTAAAACACCAAGTTCCTCTGGATTTCCCAAAGATTCAACAGCTTTCTGATTTCAAATGAGAAATATAGCTAAAGCAGTAGCCCATATCCAAGCAACTTGTGAACACAGAACTTGATCAGACACTGATTAATAGATAAAAGTTACTTTTTTTGGTTTGGGTTTTATTTTTGCTTCCATTATGCACTCACACTGACATGACTACTGAGTTTTTTGAGTTAGGAGTAGATGTCTCATGCTGACTGTCAAACTTTCTTTGATACTGAAAAATGTTTCTTTCTTTCAAAAATGCCACTTGAACACATACTTACACATCACTGTTTGTGGTATAAACACTGTAATTCAAAGATTCAATTGCCATCCATCTCACTGGAAGCCGGCCCTGGAAATCATTTCAGGAAAATTCATTTGTTTGTGGTTGGAATAGCAATATTGCAATTTGTATACCAACAATTGTTCTGTGTTACCCTACTGAAAACTGACTTTATGCAAGTAAGCTTTATCAAGCAAATAAACTTATTCAAGTTGTGTATTTTTACAGAAGAAATTCTTTACTGTGAGGGTGGTGAGGCACTGGAACACGTTGCCCAGAGAAGTTGTGGATGCCCTGTCCCTGGGAATGCTCAAGGCCAGTTTGGATGGGGCTCTGAACAACCAGATCTAGTGGAAGCTGTATGTGCCCATGGCAGGTGGGTTGGAACTAGATGACCTTTAAGGTCCCTTCTAATCCAAGCCATTTGATGACTCTATGATTCTATGATTTGCTTCCCAAAGGGACAATTCACATAAAGATAATAAAAAATTTACCCAACCAGCATCAAGATGAAATGCAAATAATTCCTAACTGATATCTTATGATGCCTCTGACCAACCCTGTTGTCTTGTCCACCCAGCAGTATTCCTGGTCTATAACTATGTAATGCTTATTACATATCCTCCTCTTTCAGATCTTCAAAAGCATTATCTCTGGATAGCTGTTTGTTCAGCTCACAGATCCTGACATACCTCTGGCTACTATCTTGCTAACTTTGGCCTTGTTCAATAGAATTAGACCAATTTACCTCATCTGGACAAATTCTGGTATGAAAATATTATTTTAATGGCTGTATAGATCCACCTACATCTTCATTTGCCAAATGTATATTATATTTTTAATAGTACATTTTTACAGAATCTCATAGTAAATTTCATGTAAAAATCCCAATAGTAAATTTTAGCTAAATTTTTTAAAAATAATTATCTTACTGCTGTTGTAATTCATATAGTTTTCAGTTACACTGTACGTTATCAACATGACATAGAATTTACTTCCAAGTAACAGATGTATATTAATAAACATGATATAAATATTTTACATGTTAATAAACAACATTTAAATAAGCAGTTCTGTAACACCCGTAAGTTTGCATTTTTGTTCATATGAATGCACAAAATAAGAAATAAGAAAGCAAAAAATGAAGAAAATAGACTATATGGGTTTGTTTTGATCCTTACCATGGTCTTCTTAACATAAACTTCTTGACCTCTCGATAAGCCAAAGTCAGCTATTTTTGCAACATAATTTTCTCCAACCAAGATGTTTCTTGCTGCCAAATCTCGATGAATAAACTAAAATAAATTTTTAGAAAATACAGAAATCACCACAGTGTGTCTGTGACCTTTTCATGTATTACTTTAGTGTTATATTTAAAATTGCAAACATTCCAAGTAAGAACATAAAAAAGCAATTGGCTTGGTATATCACTACCAAGAACATTTTAAACTTTGTCTGAAGATGAAAGCAGTTAACTACCATGTTGTTTGTAAGGTTTAATTCCTCTTCCATGATGCACCATGACATAGGAGTTGATAGGGTTAAGTGAACACAACAAAATAAATCTCATTCAGTGGGTGCTATAGAAGCTAAAATTGAACCCTTATTTTGATTTCATTAAAAGGCATAGTCCCTGAAAAATTATTTGCTATGCTTTCAGTGGGTAGAGAATTGATGACTGACCTGTTTCTGGCTCAAGTAGTCCATGCCCCTGGCAACGTCTGCTGCAAAATGCAGAAGCTGTTGAGATGAAAGTGTAGACGCAGTACTGTTGGCAATAGCAAATGCTGGGTCTGTCTCTAGTACTCGGCTTTTCCGAAGGAAGTCCAGTAAATTTCCATGAGGTGCGTATTCAATAGCAAGATAAAGATATCCTAATGAAACATCAGATAGTGAGTATATAATGAAGTAAAAGATGGTCAGTAATAGTCTGTGGAAACTTACACTGCTTTGAGTGAAAATAAAATAAACATAAATCAGACTGTAGGAGAAATATCAGACCGGCTAATTTCTAGAAGTAGAGAAGAATTTAGAGCTGTTGATGAACATGATTTATGAAGGATTAATATGGGCTTGTAGATCTAAACACAAGTTTGCTTGGCATTTTAACAAATGTTGCAGATAGATCTGTTTATGAGCTAGTGTTCCTATGGACTATATGGGCTGTACTGTGGGGTGTTTTTTTTAAACTGATTTCTAAAGTAAATGTGTTCAAGAGTATCTTACCCCTATGTTCACATGCTCCCAGAAGATTTATGATGTTGGGATGATGACCAAGTTTACAAAGAACTTCAAGTTCTCCAGCAAAATCTCTGTGATCATCTTTTGAAGCATACTCTGAAAATCAAATAAGCAAGCATTTATGTTTTCCTTTGAACTGAATTTATAACCATAATGTTTTTAATTATGATGACCCTGAGCTGCATGGGCCACTACTGCTTCAGCCCCAATAGAAAGAGAAAAACTCTAAGATACATTAGTATTTATTGAAAAAAGTAAGATTTTTCAATCAAAGGAAAAAAATGTGAGAACTCAATGTATGTAGCAGCCATCTGCAGAGAAAAAGTCTTAATATACCATGTCACTTCTCTTATTATTAGAGAATGTAAAATGTTGTAGCAGACCATATGAAAACTAGTGCCTAAAGATCTTTCCACATGTGTGCTGTTGATAATTTCTCCCTGCATGAAGACCTTGGCTTTTATTAAATTAATCATCATACTTGAGAGTGTGTCCTAATTTGCGTAGGTAATGACAAGTGAATTGTAATAAAACGTGCATTCTTTCAGTATTGAATGTATTGTAGTTCTCTCTGAAGCATGGCTGTCAGGCCCAGTGGATAAAAACAAAATGAATGATCTTCAAAGTGTGTGTATATATAGACGCATAGATATGGTTGTCCCTGAATGGCTTGGGTAAAGCAAGATGAGCAAATGCTGTGCCTCAAGACTAGCTCTGTGCTGCTCTCTATTAAATGCATCCTACCACTTTGCAGATGAACTCATGTGAAGGTCATACTGACTTATGAATTATAAAATACACAGTAGTTAATGGTATTAACCATTGAGGACAAGTAGAAACCAACCTGACCATGCAGAAATACAGTCTTTGACAAATCTTGGCCTAGTGACAGTTGATACACTTTAACTAGCAACACTGAATATTTCTTTTAGCTTCAGATGAGGGCTAGTAAGCATTTCTTATGACAGAGAAACACTTGGAATAAACAACCAAGGAAGTTCTTTGGTCTCAGAGTCTCTGGTCTTACTACCTTTCATCCTTTTTATTGCAGCATCCATGCGTAAGCCATCTTTCTTAATGCGTGCTTTCAGGACTTGCCCAAAGTTACCTTCCCCAATCACATCTTGAAATTTTATGTCATTCCACTCAAGAACTGGGTAAATAGTGGGATCTGGGCTGTTTTTGGCTTTCCTGCTCAGGGTGAGAGTACCCGAGTTAAACTGTACAGCTGGCTCTTCCCTCTGCAACAGAGTTAAGCAAATGACATTAAAGGTGATTTCTACTTCACTAAGCAATGCTCTCATTACACTTCCCAAATACTTGTGTGCTCACTCATGTACATACACACGCAGAGCCCAATCCGTCTCTTGCTTATGCAAGTTATCCTACTTTAGATGTTATTGGCATCAAGCGCTTTTGCCCAGATCCACAAAACTAATCAGGCTCCTAATTTATGCTTAAGTACCTTTGTAGATATGGGCCTCATGACAGTTTTAAAGTCATCTTAAAGATGAAGAACATGGGCAAAAAAATGTGAAAAAACTCAACTAAAAACCAGTTTTCAGTCTCAGGTTTGAGTTTTATCTCATATTAGGCTTAACTAAATCCTGTGTTGGTCAGGCTTAGTAGGAAGGGTGAGGCAAGAAGAAACAAGGAAATAAAAACAGGGGAATTGATCTTCCACCATACTTAAGGAGATACCTCCTCTTCAGTTACACATTCCCATGAAATACTTCTGTGGGAAATGTCTCAGAACAAGGAGCAGAAGCTGTCGGGTGTGTTCTGGGGACTAATCATCTCTACGGATGAGCCCTGGCCGCCTTGTTTATGAAACAACCTATTCCTATTCAGATACTTGTGAAAGAGCTCTTTGGCCCAGCTTCATTCTGCTTCACAGGTTTTGCTCTGAAGTGAGAGAAAAACGCTAGAAAGCAGAGTAATAAAGAGACTGCAGTGGGATACAAATATGTACATACACATATAGAGAGAGAGATCTTCATGTGATATTACAACTCTCAGCAATTTCCTCACAACCAGAACTATGATGTTTCCATTGACTGAACCCTGTTGTACAGTCTCCCGGTTGAAAAGCCATGAAGGAGCAGTCACTGATGCTCAAAGCAACATTAAATATGTTAGTTTTCAAAATTAAGCACAACTTCATAGAGGGAGAACAGGCTCCTCCATTCTGTCTGGCTTAGTGCTTGTTATACAGAAGTGTGACAAGGCAGAAAGGAGAGTGATTGCTTTAGCTCCAGGGTCACTAACAGAGAAGCTTTATGACTACAGTACCAACTGCATACATGAAAAGAAAACAGTATTTGGGAAGGCCAGGGAAAAGAAACTGGGAAAAAAAAGCATGGAAAATGAACTAAATAACAAAGATGACACAGAAAAGCTGGAAACCCACCACTACATTTTGGAAAGCTTGAGCCATTCGACGCTGAAAGTTGGCTTTCTTCAACTGCAGCATGATGAGAAAGGCCAGGAGAATAGTTACACAGGTCATCCCTGCGGAGCCAAGGATAGCAATAAGCAGCATTTTGCCTCCTTTTGATTCATATGGAGCTGTTGAGGAAACACACAAAGACTGCATCATTATTTCCAGCTTATTCTGGATTTAGCTATGCATTAACAATATACAGCTAAATACACCTGTCTTGTAAACTGTTTAAAGACATAGGGATACTTCCCTTTGTTTTCCAAAAATGTCACAGACATTGGATACTCTTGGACTTGATGATCTCAGAGGTCTTTCCCAACCTCATTGATTCTGTGAATTTCAGATGTACGAGTACCTGCAGGTTCTGCTGAATTCAGTCAGAGCAGAGCTAAAGTCACATTCAATGATCTAATAGTCCCGTTATATGCAGCTCCTTTAATTTATGAGCTGTTGGGACCTTTCGAGTGGATACACAGAAATGGTGCATGTTGTCACTTCACCAATGCCACACAGTGAATTAAGAATTAAATTTCAGTGATGCTGTGTTGTGTGTCAAAATTAAGAGAGAAAACTAAGGTTAAAAATATTATGACTCTGCCTTAGCTAACTTGTTTATACCAACAGCCCTGATTTGTGCAAGTCCAGCATGCTGGATTAACCAACCTCTAGTTTCTGGAAGAGTCTTCAGTTCAAACGATGTGTTAGGGTTGCTCAGACCAATGTTGTTCTGAGCATTAATCTGAACCTGGTACACCGTGTTTGGCTCAAGGCCCTTGAGGTGATACTGAGTAATGCTGGTGTTCTTTATGATAATATCAATGTGGTTGTACTCAGCCATGCCATAGATTTTGTAGCTGATGATGATGGAGGAGATGGAATGACCCTCAGCAGCTGTCCAAGAGATGACTGAGGATGTGTCTGTGGTATTAGAAAACCTGATGTTGTATGGTGCAGGAGGGATTCCTGAAAACAAACACAAACACACAGAGCATTGGAGTGTACAACCACCTCTTTCTCCTTCCTACAAAGAGCAAAACACTTTCCTCGGTGCTTTTGCTGTGCTAAACAGAAGCAGAATATTTTGAGGAGCTATGGTAACTGAATTCAACAGTTTTATGAATTCGATGTGGTGTCACCTCTGTTGCAGTACTCCAGACGTCCAGCAGAGGTCAGAATGGCATTCAACATTCTGTCTTTAGATGAAGAAATGTGTTCACTGAGCTGTATGCAAGTACATCATAATTGCTTTCAGATTAATGCAGAAAGGGTTAATTTCCTTCTATACTGAATCATCATTCCCTTGTGATTCCCATATTCCATACTCTCACTGCTGTAAGGCAGTCAGGATACAGGCCATTAAAAAGAAGGGAAATCAATACTAACATTTCCAAATACCCACAGTAGGGGCGAGTGCTACACTTGTGGACACAGCCATGACTATTAAGTAAGTGCCTTCCCCTGGAAAACAGTACCCTTATGTTTTTCTTAGTGCAGTTCAGCATCAGAGCTCGGGAAACTGCAGTGTCCCATGAAAGCCATACTTCTGTTAATACATGTAGGATCTCAGTGAGGGCTTCCTCCCTTTAAGGAGGAAGAAGCCCACCTCTCCAGTGTGTGGTATGTGGCAGCAGTGGCACCCATCAGCCATTCAGATCTGTTCAGCTGGCATTTCATTCAGATAAGGCATTTGTTCTGATGTTATGAAAGCACACCATACATGCCTCACACTCAAGGAATTCAAGGGCAGTCTTTAGCTTAGTGTGCTTAACTACTTTTTGCTCACAGCATTGCATATTCTCTTCTTCAAGTGCTGTCTGTTTCCATATTGTCATAGCTGAATTGAGTAATGATAGAACTTGGAGCAATGAACTTGGATGGCTCATCATTATGAGAAGGAAAAAAAATGCTATGTATGTCAGAAGCAAGAATTGCACTGCAATGAAGATACGGATTCTCAACCTTTTTTCTCCATTAAAAATAAAAATCATTATTAGTTCCTGTCCATTTCCAACAAAAGAATTTCTTTGGACACTGAGCTTTCAAAATAATAGTAATAACAACCACAAGTCATCATCAGGAACTGAATGTTACCAAAACGAAGGACTACACTTAATGTAGTCATCAAGTGACAATTAGTCTGATCACTGGGGGAAAGACAAGATATTAAACAGAAAAATGTGAATCAACACTTACTGTCACTGAAAGTCCATGCATACAGATAGTTGCTCCATTCTCCTTGGGACCTGGTGTTCACTCGTACCCTGCACATGTACTGCTGTCTAGGTTCAAGATCTTTAATGATCAAGGTGGACATATTTCCTGGCACTTGAGTAATAACACTGCTCTCATCACCGTTGTCATTCACGCTCTTTCTTTCCACTTCAACACGAATGTCATCCTCTGTCCTCAGTGTTAAAGGATGCCATGACAAATTCAGTGATGTCATACTTTTTGGAAAGAGAGTGAGACCTTCTGGTGGCGGAAGACCTAGGAAAAACCACAGTGAAACAGGGAACAACATTTCATATCTGGTTATGTAAGCTAAAATAGGGGTACCAGTAATTCCCAACCACTTGCTCTAGCTTGGGGAGACACAAGGTAATTCTCTCAGCCACCCCACACAATTTGGCAGAAGTGATATCTAAGAGGTGTAACTTCTTAGTTACATCAAAGAGGTGTTGATAGCCCCACAGTATCTTATCAACAACTGTTGTGCTAACAAAGGGGTCTCTTCAAAGGGTCTCTTCGATGAGCTGGTGCACTTTTTAGATGTGAGAAGCCAACTGTGTTGATGTCTTGTTAGATAGCTCCTGGTGCCATCCTCATTTATTTTGTGTGTCTGTATTCAGTTTGGGATCTATCCTCAGTGGACTACAAACTTTTCTGCTCATTCAAACATTTTCTTAAAGTAAATCGATCTAATTCTGAGAGGAAAGATGTTGGGAAAGGTGAAGGTTCC